AGAGTTATCGCATCATAAACACGATCGTCATGTAAACTCTTATGGTATATACATAAGTGATTGAATCTAGTGCAATTGAAAGTTTATAAGTTTTATGCCACAGGTTCAATCGACTTTAAACTTAAACACTTTTAATATGATCAATGCATTTTATTTATGGTAGATCTATTATTTATTTGAATTAATATTCTGATAAATTAAATTAATAGAGTCCATAGATTAAAGTCTTGATAAATTGTTCATCACAAGGAGTTGTGATTGTAAAAAACAAATTACAATTGACTGGATCTCAAATTATATGTGGTCGTAAATAATAATGAGATACGGATATCATTATCACGGATATACCATGGTTGGCATTTTTCACTTACGAAGTGGGTAACAAATCGTACAAACTAAAATGTAATGATATTTAAATGGACTCACACATATTTTGTTATGAGAACAAAATATTGGAGACTCGATGGAGAGATTTCACATTGATAACTATCTAAGAGTCAATAATTAATCTCTAACATTTGATAATGAAATTGGTCTTTCAACTTGAAGTCACCATAGTGTCTTATAAGGATAGTCATACTTTGGTGATGTTGGATGTTATTCTACTAGAGTCGCTAATACGACATCGTTCAAGTATGTCAATAATCATATGAAAGTAATGTTATTAAAATTGAACCTAATCGGTCGACTCAATAATAAAAAGAGAACCATATGGATTATCGATCCAGTTGATGCTTAAAACTCGCATGTATAAAAAAAGGCTAAAAAATTGGAAATCTGGGCAACGCAACCAAATCGGCGACCCAGATGCAGTTTAATCGAGGTTTCCGATTGGTTTCACGTCTGCCGTCTTCTTTCATTCTAATTGGAGCTTGGTAGGAATAGGATGAGAAATGCTTTAATATGCAGGGTTTATTCTTATCTGGGCCCAGTTATTTTAATTTGGTATGTAGTCCATTTAGTTTTTATTTTATATTAAGTTGCATTGGCTCATTTATTTTACTTGATATAAAATTTTAATAGAATGTATAATTTTTTATTTAATTATATTATTTTTGGTTTGACCCCGATTCAACATTTTGTTCCTTGACCCTTGACTCTCTTTTTCGGGTCATTGTCTGGGTTGGTTTTCAAAATATTATATGAAAGTTATGAATGATATGATTTATCACTTTTAAATAGTAAGATTATAATCTGTGTTTCATTCGATTAAGTTGATATCGAAATTTTTGGTCAAAGTAAGTGCATGAGTAGAAAAGAGTTTTGATTATTATTATTGACTTAAGATTGAGATGAAAGATATGATTGGTAATCAAGATGATTACTTCCATATATCATAATTGATGAAGAGACTATAGTTTCACAGTGAATGAACAAATTTGTTTTGTCACACTATGTGACATTTTTCGTGACATATATTGTCTGACACATTACTATAGGTCAATATGGAATTACAAATGTGAATTAATTAATTTAGGTACATTAATGTCAGATTAATAGGGAGTTTTAATTTAACTCATTTTAATTAGATCAAAATAATAATTGACGTCATCCGAGATTGTTAATGGGAACCTAATGAGTCACATATAAAAGGGAAAACTAGAAGAATGATATTATGAATTAATTATTTGACAAGTGTTGTACGTTTAATCTTGTTTTCAAAAATACAAATCCAACAAGTTTTAAGTACCTTACAAAATTGAAAACAACTTGAAAACAGCAAACCAAACGCTTCATTATTTTTTGTAAAATGATATAGATGGTGATTTTTAAAAAATGAGGTCAAAGTGACATGCTGGACTAGAAGTATGAAAGTTTTTTTTCTTTCTTTTTTTTTTTTTTTTTTTTAAACGCAATAAATTAATGTCACTTTGAACATTTATTGGAGTAATATGCCATTCATCCATTTTTTTTAAATGACACGGACCAAAAATTTACTCAGCCTCAAGTATAGAGATGGCGAAAAAACCCGTCCCGTGAACCATTAAAAAAAAGTATCATGAACAAATGTTTTTTGGAAGTAGAGTTATAGATTTATGTTCTTAAATTTGATGAACAAATATTTTTTGGAAGTAGAGTTATTGTTTTCCTTAACCGTATAATTGAAAATTTTTAGGGCAAAAAAAAACTTATAAAAAAAATAAACGGGGCAGGGAAATGGCCCCGCCCCGTCTAAGGCAGGGCAAAATTTTGGGAGTGGCGGGGCGGGGTAGGCGCACCCCGTCCCGAACCCGCCCCATTGTCATCCCTACTCAAGGACTTGTTATTAACTAAATTATAAACAAGTAAGAGGTATAATTTGAACTAAATTGTACATACATGTATTAGTAAGCATTCTTGAACGCAAAAAAGTCATTCATTTGTAATACTCTCAAAAGGTGTCCATGTATATTTACCTTCAGATAGCATTTAAACGACTTGATGGCAATTTTTTTTATGGTCGAACTAATCAATCAAATATTTGGGGACATCGAGAACCCTAAATTTTATGAGTAGATAGGTTCATGAAGGTCGGCTTGGCAAGACCCTACATGGGTTTAGCATCGTAAATTTTTATCGTGTATGGTATGGCTTGACATGCGAAAATATTGAATTGTCACATGCAAGGCATGATACTTTACACGTAGTCTCAAAATGTGTTGTGTGTAAATTGACATTTCTTACTTTACACGTGTTTAACTTGTCACCATCTTCTTGGCCCAACTTCAATTAAGGCGACCCACGAGCACATACTAATGCATGGCATTCCATGTGTTAACACTAATTACAGTACCAAACCTAACCTTGTACATTGGAACCTTTTGTTTGTCATAAAGTTATGTCCAGAAGTTTCTTCAGTAGAGCATGGATCCATTGTTTTTGTCCAAGTTATCATATTCAAATCAATTAAAAAAAAAAAAAAACCACTATATAAAAAATAAATGCACACACAAATATATGCATGCTTGTATGTAAAGATTCTCAATCGTAAACGGTTAACGGCCGCTCTAGCTCCTTCGACTTCCTGGATCCGTCCCCGACTCATCCCTAGATGTACTGTGGTATTCAAGTAGAGGGATATGATTTTTATTGAGACTTGGATACCATCTAAAAGATTAGCCTTATTAATAAAATGAGCAACCAAATCTCTTATAAGTAGATTCATATATTCATTTTAATTGATCCGAATTTTGCCCTTTACTCGTTTTGTGATAATAAGATTTGTGTGAATCAGACTATTTGTTGAGCTTTGTAGACAAATTGATGGCTCGTTTGACCTTGAATTAGACTACTCGTTGAGCTTTTTAAACACATTGATTGCTCGTTTAAAATTTTTGAGCTCTGATATCATTAAGCCCCCGTTTGGCACCCATTAATTTCTCATTCTCATTTCCATTCTCATTCTCATTCTTCATTTCAACCACACATTCTTCAAATAAAATAATATTACACACAAATCAAAAACTTTTCATCACTTTCATTCTCATTTTTCATTTCAACCACATATTCTTCAAATAAAATAATATTACACACAAATCAAAAACTTTTCATCACTTTTCCACCACACATTCTCACATCAATCACTATTCCAAAATTTCTATTCTCCTCAAAATTAAATTCAAACACACCCTAAGAGTCTTTAAATCATTTTAAACTATAAATCTTATAATTACACACCTCTACATGTCTTATTGATTTGATGTTAAATTTTACCTTTTATATAACTTGTAAAGCCACAAGGGTTAAACCATATGTACAGAAAAATTTTTGACATAAGTTTTACACCCACTCACGTGTGAGGCCCACCTAAATAAAAAATGAAAAAAAAATACCCACGCACCCCCCCCCCCCGGGCCCCTCCATTGTGTGCATATGACTTTCTTCTGTGAAATCGTGGTTATGTACATGAACAATGGTTCAAGCCTAAATAACGTCACTGCCTAGTAGTAGAAAATAGGAAAGCGGGCTAAAATTAAAAGCTGACAAACATTAAAATAAGCATTTCTTTTCTTATTTTTAAGTTCTAACCTTCACTGACAAAAACAATTATTTCGAAACTTGCTTATTTATGGGAATCGGACAAGGAGATGAGAATTATTGGTAACAGACGCCAGTACAAACTGCCAAAGACTCTGCGAGCAGATGAGCACTGTCTGACCATGCTCTTGTGTGAACCCCATTTTGAGCGACAATGTATTTTTGAATAGTGATTTTTGAATAATGTATGATTAAAAATTAAGAAAAAAATTTCGATTTACATATAATATCATTTTATTGGAGAATGTGTGATTAAAAATGAGTTTCGGAAAAATGAATTTTCAAAAAATGAGCTCAAATAAGTCGTATACATATGATTCACGAGTTCCGTATTTAACAGACAACAAAATAAATTTCAAAGAGAGCAATGCTACATACAGTCGCTCACTATCGAAGTTGCCCTACGTGACATACAACTAGCAGTCAATGATTTGATACATCGTTAATCGTCACATATATGTCACGTAGGGTGACTACGACAGTGAATGAGTGCAAATAGCATTATTCTTTCAAAAAATGGTACATTTATTTGAACTTATGATTGTAACTACAATTTGGGAATAACGTTGTGTCACCAGGAACAATGAATCAAATTGAACGTACAGAAACCAAGAAGAGAGGCTTGAAACCAGTAGATATTTCCATTAAGAATAATGCTAAGCAGAAACACAAAACATCACCCGAGTAGCCTCGTTTCTCTTCTTGTTTCATCATTCAATAATTGGAAGCCTCTCCACCCTCCAAAAGAAATGAAAAACTATTTCCTCACCCACTATGAAACGAAAACGAACTAAAACAAGAATATCTAAAGCAAAGAACAATGAGAAAAGTCAAGCACAAGATAGTTAAGAAGGAAAAGTTCTTTTCTCCCTTGGGATATTTATTATATAAATTGTGGTTATTCAGCAATGTTTATTGACAAGAGAAATAGCTGGGGTGTATCCTCTTTTAATCTGTCATGTTATTGAATTTGACTGTTGGAGTTAAACTTCGGTGGAGGAGTTGGGGGAGCTTAGAGGAAAACAAGTGTCTTCCCCACCGGTATTCCAAAGGAAATGGGCATAATTAGCTGCATAATAGGAATTGCTGGGTTCCGCGGCAATGGCTTCCAAGTAGGTTTCCTCAGCAGCCCAAAGATCCTTCTTTACCTGCCAGAGGAAGTTTGCATATTTGTTCAAGGCTTCTGCATCCTTTGGCTCCACCTCTGCAGCTCTCTTGAAGTAGTCTTCCGCTCTGATTCAAGCAAAAAAAACGTGTAAAACAAATGAATACAGAAGTTTTTAAGACCTCAGGATTCAAGAATTTGCACGATTAACTTGTTTTCGTAGCAAATTTTGCATAATATGTTGAAGTATCTATTGTGCATACACATACAATTTAAATAGCATAAGTCATTTCTTTTTCCTATTCCTCAGATTTCTAGAATCTTGGTTGCCTTTGTCAAAGAATTGGAAAATTTACTTGTTTTTTGAAGATATTTTTTCATCAAAGTTTTCATTTCAAGATACTGTTGAAACTATTTATGGTTCACGTGCATAGCTCTTTGCTATTAAAGAAAGAAACTAAGGGTTTATGTAAGTTGCACCACACACAGTTCAATCAAGATAAAGTCCTGATCCCAATTTCTAAAAAACTACAATTTGCTTGCAAAAGGTCATATTTCATGCCAACAAGTACAATATTTCTCGAATTAGATGCGAGCAAACATGGCTGCAAGCAATATCATCAAGCAGAAAAGTCACAGACCATAATATTTGAAAAAACACAATCCAATAGCAATAGCTAAGAATCGAGGAATTACTAATTCTTCAAGAAAAACAGAGACATTGATATCTAAACATAAGAAAATATATTTACCTGTCATAATCTTGGACGACCAAATAGAGAAATTGAGCAAAATTAGCGAGCAGAAGAGCATTATAGGGCTCTCGAGCCAATCCTGTTTGATATAGCAACTCAGTCCTAAAATACTCTGCATAATCATCAGCTTCAATCTCTGCGTTCACTGGGGACACAAGTCTTTGCCTCAACTCATGATCCAATGCTTCACCACTTGTTGCAGCCCGCATTCTAGAAGCTTCTTCCACCATTGAATTCCACAAACTCACATCTTCTTCACTGGCCACTTGCCCAGATATTGACTCTTCTTCACCTGTTCTTGAGGGATTCCCTACTGAGGACACCTCGTCAGGAACAACAGTCCCGTGATATCCCGATTCATCAAACCTCCCGTCTCCATCTGTACCACTCCCAACCGGCCTGTATTTCCCACCACCACCATTACCTCCCCCAATTGATGTGATTTTCCCATTTGATGAGGATAATTTAAATGTTTTAACAGCCGATGAATCAAACTTTTGCTCGACCCGACTCTGATCTTCTACCACCGAAACAGATTCTGTGGTGGCTCCATAAGCATGGACCGGTGGAGTGGCTGCTATAGCGGCGTTAGTCCCCATAGAATAAACACTATAATTTGCAAGAAGTATCATCACATACACCATCAAAGTTGGCGTATGTGAGAACACTTGCTGAAACAACCACACAAAGGACGCACGCATCTCCTTCTGAACCCGCACCAAAATCCCTTGTAAATCTTCATAAAACAAAATTTCCCTCATTTGCAAAGTATAACTTTGCAGCTCCTGAATTATAAACACCATGGACGAAAAAGCTTTGTTTACAGAGCAGTATGCCGACTCTCCTGCTTCCCTAAAACCTTCTTGCCATTGCTTTTTCCGCTTTATCATTCTAAGGGATAATGGAATTTCAACTCTATTCGCCCTCCTCTCAATATTTGCGGAAATTATCTCATCTCTTTCAGGAAAATCTGGAGGTTTTAAAGGCTCAAACGACTGATATTCTAAAAATTTGTTTTCACCATTGGAAATAACATCAACATTTTCACACCTCGTTTTGACAAAATCCAGGAGCATACCCTGCTCTGCTTCAAACGTAGCATCGTGTGTCCTTAAACTTTCGTCTTCATCGTCAGATAATTGAAATCTAAGAGCCACCTCTTTAATGTTCTTCGAAAATTCTTCATCAGAAAACGAAACACAGCTGGCACTGCATGCTCGTCGGAGAGGTTGGTCCCGGGATTTCAAATGCTCAAAAGATCTAGACCGGTACAACTTAGACGATTGATGAGTCCCAAAAAACGCCGACCTATCCAACCGGTGCACATAGCGGCGCACCAAAGCTCCATCACTGCTAATAATACTACGTCTTACTATAGATGGGGACGAAAATGCAGAGGCTAAAGTTCGAGAAGAAGATGGTGATTGGGGAATTGAAGGGTGTGACCAATTTAAACATGGAGTTCCTACTTTCACTGCCATTTTCTCAAATCAAATTACAACACTATTTAATTAATGGTATAAAATAGCAAAACAAACAAAGGATTTTGCAAAACGGAGACTGGAAAAAATGGAAGGAATTCGAAAGCTTTTACAACAACGTCTTTACTACGGATCCGCAAATAGAGATTTGACTTCCTTAATTTGAACTGAATTGAAATATCCTGCAAAACAATTAAACAAAACCGACCAATTAAGTCAAAACATTACCCCATACGCTTATTTAAAGTATAAACTGAATCCAAATTTAACATTCCTAAAATCAAGCTATTGCTTTAAATCATTACACACACTTTTTCACTTTCCATTAAAATCGGATCACAAAACGCAAACCAAGAGAAAATCATATGGCACCCACAAATTTATAATGCAAATTCATCACACACGACCAGAGGCGGAGCCACCTTGGGTATTTCACCTATTACACTTGAGGGGCGGCCAGTTTTTTAAGGCAAGGATAAAACCATTAAACAAGCGCATCAAAAATTCAAGAGAAAGGTTGTCGAAAAAATCAGTGCTGCTAGAGGAAGATTACCATCAAGAAACAAAAATTTTGGAAAAATAAATAAGTTATAAGGAGTTGAGTTAAAATCAAATCATTCACAACAATCAGATCGAGAGCATTTCAACATATAAAGCCCCTTTTTTTACACTGAAAAAAAATCCGATACTACCTTCCAACTTCGTTGATGAAGAAGTGGAGTATAAATCACTGATACACAAGATAAATTGGTGCCAAGGGGTGATGAATGTGTCCCCTCTTGCTTCTCCCTCCGTTTTTAGCCTAATTTCGAGGAAGAAAACGTTAGCCGCTTGTTTCCCTTTGCTCCTATGAATAAGCCTTGAACAGGCATGGGTTATAGTTGGAAATGCATGCTTTTTAATTGGGGTTTCCGATTTATTTTTATTTTTTTTGAATAATACAAATTAAAAATATTTTCAAATATATTTTCAAAAATAGCAAATTTATGAACTTTTTTAAAAAAATCAGTTGGTCACATTTTCAGCCTGTTTGGTACAAATTTTTATTTTTTGCGGTAAATCAATTCTCATTTTCAACCACACATTCTTCAATAAAATAATATTTTTCATCACTTCAATATTTTTTTCTTATTTTTCAACCACACATTTCTCATCATATCACTATTCAAAAATCAATTCTTCCCCCAAAAATCCCTACCAAACACACTCTTTGTAACCTCTGATTAAGTATTGTGATTTGGGTCATCACATATGTATCGAGGGAGAAATATCGAATGGTGTCCCCCCTCTCACATCGGGGTGGGGCCTCAACTCAATATTTTTTAATGCACGTAGGCCCGCAAATCACGTGAGAGGGAGGACACAATTCGGTAGTCCCCCTCGGTACAAATATCATTTCTCTTTTGATTTATAGTTTAATTAAACAAGCCAGGATCATAATAACATAATAATCACAAATTAGAAAAAGTTATCCTCATAAATTGCAATTTGTGAGTCATATTCACTTATTTAAGTCGCAAATTAAATACTTAATATGACTCAAATTATTTATTAAAATTCAAATTATTCGATTAATTAATCACAATCACGTATTATCACACGTTTAATAGGTTATAAATTATCCAATTAATCATATACAATATTCACCTCACCCTAACCACTCCATCCCACCGTTGATGACACCACCAAAATCACTGTCGCCACCACCACCACGTTCACCTCAAATCAAGGGCGGATTTTAGTCCGATTCACCATGTTTCTAATCTATAACCACCACCTCCACCTCACTTCACCCACTCCACTTCATCACCACGACACCACCTAACAAGCCTCCCTAACTTGGGAATCCGAATCCAGAACCACTCGTGGTTTTGGCGCTTCAAGCAATGGTAGATTCGCAACTCGAATTTTCACCTCTTTTACAAAATCCTCATACTTCATTACTAGACCAAACTCTTTCATCATTGTCACCTCTTAACCACCACTACGACTATCACCACCACCGATGAAAACTAATCATTCATGGCATTCCCTTTGTCTACATTTCCTGGTGGTGGAATCTTCCCACAACCATTGTCCTTATTGCCATTGACCAAATGCTTTGCACTCATCCATGAATTTGAATCTACCATGGCCATGCTGCTTCTCAAGGTTTTTGGATCCGTTTCAGCCTTGGTTTAGAGTTCGAGACATTACAGCAAGCCTGGATCATCGGTTTACTAAGTTGTTGAAAGCGTCGATGTCCAGTTCTAACTTGATGTCGCTGCCATGGCGTATGAGAGATTGATATGCTATTCAGAGTTGAGTTGGCCAAAGTTGTTGGTGACGATCGATCCTGCGTTGTAGAGAGAGTAGGGAGAGAAATTATATATAATTTTTTGAAATAATAATTATTACCTAATTTTATCTGATTTTTAATTTGAAACACTCGAAATTTATAATATGGAGTTTAGGGTAATTTTCTCTTTTTCTCATTTTAATTCTTTTTTTGGATGGGCCTCAATCAAGTAACAAATAAAAAATGGACACGTATAATATTTTTTAAGTTGAAAACTAAATTAACTAAATACATTATTTTCATACAAATAAGTTTTAGGTAATTGAATTGCCTATAATTTATTCTGTCCATCCAAATTTCATACTCACAATCAAACACACTTATTTTAACATTAACCTACAAAGAGAAATGTTTTCTCTCAAACCTGCTTATTTACTTATAAGTAATTTACATGTAAGCAAATTTTTATGACTAGACAAATATCATGTACTCAACAAAAATAAAAATGCGCAGAAATAAGTGGAAAAAAATAATTTAATCCTACATTACGTTTATTAAAAGCGGATTATTGAAAAACCAATCAAGGTATAAACCAAAAGCCAGAAAATTAGACCTTTTATCGAAAAGTTAAAACGGATTTGCATCACAATAATTTATTGCAGGATTTATGTTGATTGAGAATTGATTTGTCTACATCGTTCTAGTGTGAACATTTAAAAATCTCTCCCGTAATATTTACTATTAAGATTTTCTTTGGCGTATCATAGTCTCTGTACATGACTTTTACTAATATGTACATATTTAATATTCAATTAGTCCTTAAGTGGGAAAAATTATGGGAAGTAGAAGGACTTTTTTTTTTAAAATTTAAACACGCTATTAGAAAATAAAAATCATGGATCGCTCATGTGAGGTGACCCGACCCACAAGACATCAAAAGGGTTGAAGTGGGTGATTTGAATTTTCCATCCACAACTCTCCATAACCTCTCATAACTCCCACAAAACCTTCATTTTTGTCTAACAATGAAGAGAGGGAAAATATGACAATAAAATTGTGAAAATTTGTATGGAAAATATCACTAAAATTGAAAAGCACGTAGAACTACTAATTTGGCATAAAAACTCGTAAAAATTGGCACTTAAGTTGTGGCTAATAATCCACTTCCACTGTGGATTGTGACCATTGGAGTATAAGAAAACTGTAGATTTGGAGTTTTAAAAAGTAAGGTGATTCAATTATTTAAAAGATCTTGAAATTCATCATTTCAAATAAGTATCTTGACCCGAAATTTATGTTAAAGTATGCAGCAAATTATTTCACGCAATATTTCATTTTCAGTTATTTTCTATTTTAATTTTTTTGAGATGTACAATTTCATTTCGATTACCTTATAAATTCGGGATTAATCTAGTTGTACATAACCCTCTGCATAATGGTGATGTGGCAATCATCCACTTATTGATGTGTAAGTGTGAAAGTTGAATTAAAGGCAGGATCACATGCCACGTGTAATTATGTGAACCATTATATGAATGATTATGTACCTGTAGTATTACTCATAAATTCGTCTAGTCGACACGAGACTTTATTCGTACTTCTCTAACCATTCTTCTTCAACAAAGTAATCTATCCATTTTTCTTCAAATTTCAAAGAGCCGTATTGTTTTTGACTTTCACCGTGTCAAGTTGATGGCCTTACTTGAGAGCAGCTGTCTTGAAAACAAAAAATATATTTTATTACCATCACGATCCAACTCAATCGCAGCTTATTACCAAATTAATTTAGCTCTGTTTGCAGGAGAATTAAAATCAGATTTTTAGAAGATTTTGATAAAGTTGACGAAATGTATGGTTGAAAAGTTATGAAACTTATACGTTGTTAAAATCAATTGTTGACTTTGACTTATATTAAAATTTGAATTTTAATTTCTACCAAATCGGGCTTAGTAAAACAAAGTTTAAATTAATCTAGATATTTATTTTTACTCTAAACCTTTTTCCCCCGACAAAAGGGTAGGCCCGTAAAATAATAAATATCTTGTTATTGGAGGTGAGAGCCGACGGTCCAAAATCAAGCTCGGAATTGTCAAATAACCAGAGATAATAAAAAGAAAGCTGTAAGGCAAGTTGATTGTGTTACAATCAAACTGAAATTGTCTGATGTATGACGTTCACTTCAATGGCCCATGATTATAATCAATCTACGGTCAGAATTTTATTTGATGATATCTTCTTAAATTAACGTTGTTGTCATCCTAGTCCATTCAACGTTCATATTTTGAGTAAATTATCTTAAGCCGGCTTCAGATCACCTCCACTTGACAACCAACAAAGTCGCACTCCACAACATCTCTTACAAGGGTGGGTCACATACAAAGTAGTCGAGGTGACGCATCACTTCATCCGAGATGCCATATCGAAGTAGACCTACATGATCTAGAAGAAGTGCTATCGTGCTTTCAAGGAAGAAGTGAGAGGTAGCTAGCCTCACATTGATAAAAAGTATTTTTCACCTCACATATTTTCAGGAGATCTTATGTAGAAGATGTGTATATGATGATTGTGGCATCTCTACAACAAGTTTTTAAAGGTCAAAACATCGGTCTACATTTATGAGGTTATACCCGTTAAGAATTGGGGTTACATCTTAAAATGTCAACTTTATTAAGAGGAGTAACACAATTCTTTATAAGTTGGTTTATGTTTATATCTCTATTCG